GAGGAGACCTCAGGCAGCAGGCAGCTTGGGCCATGGCCTCCGACCTGGACTTCTCCCCTCCCGAGGTGCCTGAGCCCACTTTCCTGGAGAACCTGCTGCGGTACGGACTCTTCCTGGGGGCCATCTTCCAACTCATCTGTGTGCTGGCCATCATCGTCCCCATTCCCAAGTCCCACGAGGCGGTGAGTCCTTCCCTGTGAGCCTCAGCTCCTCTGAGTGCCAGTCTGGGTTCTGGGTACTCGTAGTAGATACCCCTACAACCAAGATCAGCAGACACTGTGCTGGCCCTTATCGACTAAGCGTGCCCTGAAGAATTCCCACCTGTGGATAGAATCACACGACGAATACTTTATTTGTTCATCCATCTGTTATGCAGATTTTAATTTAGTGTCTGACTAAATAAAATACATGTCAGACTCTATCGAAAGATGTGTTTGCCTTCAAGGAGCCTCTAGTTCTTTTTTTGGGGAGGAGGAGGAGAGGTTTTTTGCTATACGGCGTGTGCGCTCGCCAGAAAGACAGAGAGAGACAGAGAGACAGAAAGAGAGAAATCACTCCCCGGGGGGATGGCTACGCCGCAATCCCTTCTCCTCTCGGGATCTTGGGCACATACGCACACGTACCCGGTATAAGTTTAAGCCACCAGGTCTGGGACTCGAACCATGGTTGACTACATGGGAGTCTAGCAACATAGCCATTACGCCACCTGCTGGTCCCGGAGCTTCTAGTTCTTGAGGGTAAGGCAGACATGAAAGAAATACTGACCTGTACTCCTGAGAGAGACACAGAGGGTAAATAACAATGGGGGGACCTGTTCTTACCTTGGGGCAGGGGACAGGCTGCCCCCTTACCTCTGCTGAGGAGACAGTGTTTGAGCTGGCTCCTGACAGGTGATTGGGGAAGGGTGAGGATAGCATTCTAGAGCCAGGGAATTGCATGTGCAGCCGACCTGAGGAATAAAGCAATACAGAGAGAGACAGAGAGACAGAAAGAGAGAAATCACTCCCCGGGGGGATGGCTACGCCGCAATCCCTTCTCCTCTCGGGATCTTGGGCACATACGCACACGTACCCGGTATAAGTTTAAGCCACCAGGTCTGGGACTCGAACCATGGTTGACTACATGGGAGTCTAGCAACATAGCCATTACGCCACCTGCTGGTCCCGGAGCTTCTAGTTCTTGAGGGTAAGGCAGACATGAAAGAAATACTGACCTGTACTCCTGAGAGAGACACAGAGGGTAAATAACAATGGGGGGACCTGTTCTTACCTTGGGGCAGGGGACAGGCTGCCCCCTTACCTCTGCTGAGGAGACAGTGTTTGAGCTGGCTCCTGACAGGTGATTGGGGAAGGGTGAGGATAGCATTCTAGAGCCAGGGAATTGCATGTGCAGCCGACCTGAGGAATAAAGCAATGGGCAGGCTCTAGGAACTGAGTGAAGATGACTGGTCGATATGGAGGGGACATGGTGAGAGGTACAGCCAGAGGTGTGGATGTGTCCCAGAAGGTTTTAAGTAAGAAAATGGCATGACTAGATTGACTTTTTTTGTTGTTTTGATTCTTATTCTGTAGGTATCTTTTTTCTATTGGGTTATCAGAAAGTCATGATGTATTTTTCTTTCTTTGTTTTTAAAGAATTATTATTTTATTTAACTTCATTTATTTATTTTAATTTGACCAGAGAGGGACAGAGTAAGAGAGAAAGAGAGAGGGAAAGTGAGAAAGCAAGCCACCGGGTCTGGGACTCGAATCACGGTTGGCCATGTGGGAGTCCAGCACCCTTAATCACCACTCCTCCTGCTGGCTCCATGATGTGTTTTTCTATGCAAAAATCACTCCTATCACTTATCCTCCCCATTCTGATTTTCTCACAAGATTTGTTGAAGAAAGCAAATCATTTGTGAGAGCTACATCTTGGGATTTGGCCGATGGCCAATCTCTGTTGTATCATTTTACGTGTTCCTCTGCTCCCCTTATTTCCTTCGGCAGGAATTTCTACCTGGAGGCCCGAATCCATTCAGATCAGGTTATTTGGTATGAACACCTTATACTCAGTGCAGCGTCCATTCTATTGAGTGTCATCAAAAGATGTGCGTCTGGCTGCCACACATTTGGAGATTCTCACATCAGTGGGTTCAGCTGATGTTAACATCAGTGGGTTCAGGTGATATCAGCAGATCCATATAAAAATCTCCCTCCCATGGTCATTTTTAGCTCCATTATTTACTTCTGCATTCATTTATTTATTTTTAATTTGCTAGAGAGAGAGAGAGAGAGAGAGAGAGCGAGCGAACGCACCCTCTTTGGGGAACTTCTGGTCATGCCTCCATCCCTTCTTCTCTTTCTCCCCCTTTCAGTATATTGGGTACACATGCCCAGCCTGTTTTTCAGACTTCTGGGTTCAGTACTCAAACAACATAGTCAGCCATGTGGGATCCAGCTCCCGTAACTGATCAGACCGTGGGCTGTCCCTACTTCTGCATTTATTAGCTGGAAATCTTCAGTGAAGACCTGTTTTTTCAGTCATCTGTGTGGTTATTGTGACATGTTTTAACACATTCAAAAGCAGGGTAAATGTCAGTTCTGTCCCTTTATTTATCAATTTTCAGAGTAGTAAGTTTGGGCACTACACCTTCAGTGTTGGTCAATGAAGTTTTGACTTTTTTTTTTTTTTTTTTTTTTTTTTTTAGATTTTTGCCATAGGGTGTGTCTACTCACCAGAGAGACAAATACAGAGAGGAGAGAGAGGGAAAGTAGAAAATCACCCTCCACTGGGAATGGCCAAGCTCCAATCTCTTCTCCCCCATTCTCCTCTTGGGGTTTTGGGCTTGCATGCATATATGCCCAGTGTGAATTTCAAGCTGCCAGGTCCAGGACTTGAACTGTGGTTGGCCACGTCAGAATCCAGAGCTTTAACCCCTATGCCACTTGCTGGCTCCAAAGTTTTGGTTTTTCTACAATTTTGAACTTTTTATTTATTTTTTTTTTGAGAGGTTTTTCTCTATAGGGTGCATGCACTCGCCAGAGACAGAGACATAGACATAGAGACAGAAAGCAAGAAATCACCCCCCAGGGGGGATGGTCATGCCACAATCTCTTCTCCTCCATTCTCCTCTTGGGATCTTGGGCACGCACGTACACGCGCCCGGTGTGGGTTCTAAGCCACCGGGTCCGGGACGCGAACCGCAGTCGACTACGTGGGAGTCCAGCGACATAGCCATTACGCTAACTGCTGGTTCCTTTGAACATGTATTTTTATGTATTTGATTTGTTTTAATTAGTTGGCTTTTTTTATGCTCAATTGTCTCTATGGGAGCTCCTTCTACTTGGTGTCTTTTTGTTTGTTTATTTAAAAACTTTCTTTCGTGGGAGAGAGAGATATAGGTACCTTCTATAGTGTCTTATTTTGTGCAATTGTCTCCCAGCCTCCCACCAGTCAGAGCCCAGGTGTGCATACCCCTGTGTATTTATACCTGGGATTTGAACCTAAGTCTCCCATGTGGTTCTAATATTGTGCAGTGGTGCAGTACCACCTGCTCTACCACAGCTGGGCCTTCAGGTTAGTGTCTTTGTTGTCATACATCTAGTCTTGGATAGCCTTTCCTTGCTTCCTGGCTCAATAAGATGTCTTAGGCTCATTTTTTACATTTCCTGCCCCGAACCTGGGAATAATCATTTATCAAAAAAAAGTTCTGGTTCTTTTTAGTTGGAAATAGAATTTTGAGACTACAGTTGAAACATTAGAAGTGATTGGTGAAAAACATTGAAACACCAGAAGTGATTAGTGAAAAAGAACTATAAGTTCAGATTGGTATTTCCAATTAAAATGTAAGATTATTGTGTTTTTATTTATTTGACTTTATCCTAGTATCTTATATCTCTTTATTGTATTCCAGAAATCTTGTTTCCCAATAATATTAATGCAGTGATTTATTTGTTATATCCTACTATATCACAGGTCTCCTAGACCACCTTAGGTTCAGTCATTCACTAGGAAGACTCACAGCTGTGATTTATCACAGCAAATAGACACAAAACAAAATCAGTAAAGGGAAAGGTGCATGGAGTGAAGACTGGAAGAAACCATGTGCGAGCTTGCAAGAGTGCTCTGCCATAGGAGGCAAGCAGGGTGTGCCTCATTCCCGCTGCAAGCAGTTGTCACAGTACATGTGAAGTGTTGTCTAGCAGGGAAGCTCATCAGAGACTTCAAGCCCAGAGTTGTTACTCGGGACTAGTCACATAAGCACCCTCTGTCTAGTAGGTACCACAATTTAGACTTTCGAAGAGAAAAGAGGTATTTAGCATAAACCATATTGTTTGCAGCAGTTTAGACACAGTGGGCCACTTTGATCAGTTCTGGGAACTGTGGGAACCGCTGAAATTCAAGTTCCCAAGTGCCAGCAAGGGCCAACCTTGCTAGCGCACTTTTCTAAGGAGAGCAGTTTGGTTATGTTAACTCTGTTTTACACACCTACAATATATTGATTATAGTTTTTAAAGAACTTTATTGCTTTTCTACCACAACAGTATTACCAGAATGAAACGTAAGGTTTTTGGGTAGTTCATTTTTGGCCTTTGACTATGTCCTAGTGGGGATGTATGGTCAAGTTTCATGTTTAGTAATTTTTTTGTCCATGTAGGTATACTTTACATGTCCATGTAGGTAACTGTTATATAGGCTAGGTTAATTTGCTTCACTTTCTAAGTTTTTGGAATGTTTTTCATTTTGATTTGTTTTTAAAAATTATATAAAACACTCATAGTTAAAACCGTATAACAAGGGCTACCCTCATAATGTAGCAGTTAGGCACTGTGAAGAGAGAACTGGATCCCACGTGACTGACCAGAGTTCAAGTCCTGGTCTTGCGGGTTGGAAAAAATATGCCAAAAATGTGCACACCTGCCCAGGACCTTGATGGGATGGAAAATTGGGGGAAATAGGATTATGGCATGACCAGACTCAATTGGAGGGATGCTTTTTCTCTCTTGTTCTCTTCCTCTCCCTGTCCATCATGAGTGCACGTGTTCCTCTGGCATTAAAAAAAAATTATATAACAAGATATAGTCACAGAATTTTTCTTTAATTGTATCATGCTTCACCCTGTTCCTTTTCTCCCCCCATGGGTAGCCATTTTTATTATTTTGATTCATCTTTTCTGTGTGTGGTTTTTGCTTTGTTCTGT